CACTGGAATACATATGGGGATATGGGCATAAATGTAATGTACTCATATTAAGCATCACCAATATATATAGTGTAAACACATTAAGACATGAAGCCAGATATAATAAATCATACGATATGAGGATTATCAAAACATATTGTGAATAATTGAATATGAATGAAATAAAAGTATATAAATACATGGTAAAGAATTGTGGCTGATAGTGAATTATTGATAGCAGCAGAATTTAAGTATAATTAAAACATGTAGAAAATAGTTGATAAAGGTATTAAAATATGAACATTATAATAGAGACAAACAATGGAAAATAATACAAATAATAATAAAAATATAGAATGAACAATAAAATAACATGATTAGCCTTTTAGGATATTCCTACAGTGTTCAGCTAATCTTGTTTTAAGATCTCTAGTGGTCATGCCCACATATTGAAGTATTTTTAATACTAGTTTTTCAAAAATTTTCTTTAAAGAAAAATTCGACTTTTTTTCCTTCTAGTTTTAAATCAGGTCCTTTAGAAGTTTTTGAAAAACTAGTGACTAAAGATTTAGAGAAAATTCAGAAAAACAAATATGATCAAGATAACCTCACACAAGCAGAACATATAGCATTACAACAACTACAAAAAGATGAAAATATTGTTATAAAATCTGCAGATAAAGGGGGAGGTATTGTTATTTTAACTAAAGACATGTATATCAAAGAAGCTATGAGACAACTAAACGACTGTACAGTCTATGAAAAATTGACACATGACCCAACATCCAAAATCCAACAAGCTTTAACGTCCTTTTTGACTAAGGGTCGTGAACAAAATATTTTAACTAAACAAGAATTTGAATATTTGAATATATCCCATCCTATCATCCCTGTTATATATTTCCTACCAAAAATCCATAAGAATATTACAAATCCTCCTGGGAGGCCTATTGTCTCAGGGATTAAGTCTATTCTATCCAATTTATCAGAATACCTAGACATTCTTTTACAGCCCTCAGTAAAACGTACGAAGTCATACTTGAAAGACTCTATGACTTTACTTCGGTTTTTAAACAATTTTACATGGAAAAATACATATATTTTAGTAACTTGTGATGTACAATCTCTATATACTATCATCCGTCACGATCAAGGCTGTCAAGCAGTAGAAAATATTTTAAAAGCGGAGAAAAACATTCCTGACCATCAGATAGATTTTATCATTCAGGGCATTAATATTATTTTAAAAAATAATTATTTCTGGTTTTTAGACTCTTTTTATTTACAAATACAGGGCACTGCCATGGGGACCAGGTTTGCACCCAGCTATGCCAACCTTTTTATGGCAGATTGGGAATCCACTGCTATTTTTGGAGGGCATGGCTGGCAGACAAACCTGGTCACCTATTTTAGATATATAGATGATTTGTTTTTTATCTGGGATGGCCCTAAAAACTCTCTGAACCTATTTTTACAGTATCTTAATATTAATGACAAAGGTATTGTTTTAACTTGGGACTATAGCAAATCTTCTATCCACTTTTTAGATTTAGAAGTTTTTATTAGCAACGATCATATTCATACTAAAACTTTTTTTAAAGAAGTTTGTACAAACAATGTCATTGATGTATCCAGTTGCCACCACAAACCTTGGCTACAAGGAATTCCCAAAAGTCAACTTCTTCGTTTACGCAGGAATTGTTCCCTTACGCAAGATTTTGAGGAACAATCCCAACTGATGTCTAGTAAATTTGCTCAAAAAAACTACCCCATAAGTAACTTAGAAAACACATTAAAAAATATTAGTGCAACCAACAGATCTGAATTATTAGAATATAAAACTAAAAAAGAGACCAAAATTGCCCCAATATTGCCAATTATTTTCGACTTCAATAACAAAAGCAATGTTATGAAGAGAATTATAAACAAACATTGGCATATATTAAAACAGGATGAGACTTTATCTGGGATTATCCCTGAGAAACCACAAGTTATATTTAGAGGGGCACCCAGTTTTAAGTCTATCCTTACAAATAATTACACAAAACAGAGCACTTTATCCCCTAGTCCCTCCACCTTTTTAACTAAACCTAGTGGCTTTTTTAAATGTAATAGATGTATAGTATGTAAGCGGACTAGTGATACTATTAAATCAAAAACGACATCATTCACATCAACAGTAACACACAAAATATATCAAATAAAACATTTTATTCATTGCAACACAAAAAATGTGATTTATCTCTTAGAATGCCCTTGTGGCCTTCAATATGTGGGCATGACCACTAGAGATCTTAAAACACGATTAGCTGAACACTGTAGGAATATCCTAAAAGGCTATGAGAACCATTCAGTTTCAAAACACTTCCTACAACATGGAAAAAATCCAAAATACCTTAAATGTATTGGTATTGATACTTGTAGTATTCTGTGGAGAGGGGGAGATATTAAAAAAGTATTGGGTAAGAAAGAAATGGAATGGGCATATAATTTAAAAACTCTTGCCCCTACAGGGTTAAACATTGACTTTGACCTTTTTAATTTTCTGGAATAACATAATCTGGAATTTTACACTTATTATCACCCCTTTTTTATTCATTTTTATTCATTTTTAATCATGTTATTTTATTGTTCATTCTATATTTTTATTATTATTTGTATTATTTTCCATTGGTTGTCTCTATTATAATGTTCATATTTTAATACCTATATCAACTATTTTCTACATGTTTTAATTATACTTAAATTCTACTGCTATCAATAATTCACTATCAGCCACAATTCTTTACCATGTATTTATATACTTTTATTTCATTCATATTCAATTATTCACAATATGTTTTGATTATCCTCATATCATATGATTTATTATATCTGGCTTCATGTCTTAATGTGTTTACACTATATATATTGGTGATGCTTAATATGAGTACATTACATTTATGCCCATATCCCCATATGTATTCCAGTGTGAAGGCTTCTGTTTCGTTCTGTGCCTCCCCCTCTTTGTTTATGCATGGGAGTGTCCCCTCCCACCTTGGGACACATGCGTTCCACCTGGTTGGAACGCATGTGTTCCATTCCATCATCACGTGATGCGGAAGTAATTTCGGCCGCGCGTCACGTGATTATGACGCATGCGTTCCATTCAAGCATCACGTGACGCGGAAGCAGTGACATCCGCACGTCACGTGACTGCTCGTTTTCTGCTTATTTTAGCTGTTTAAATGCTCGTTTTTATTTCCTCTCTTCGTATTTACATCATATTTCCTTACACTATATAAATATGCTTTTTAATCCTTATTTCTGTTTTAAAATTTTTTTTGCAATACTCCAGTGACGTCATTCTGGCGGGAATTTCAAATTTCCATAGAAGTACTGTATGTTATATAAACCTTTGTATGTCAGGTGTGCCCTCCTTTATAACTATCTACTTGAAGAAGCCTTTTGAGGCGAAACGCGTCTAGATATTATTAGTATTTATTTTATTTATCTCTAATAAAGAATTTTATTTGGCATAAAATATTTTATTGCCATTTTCTTTATATTTATTTATTTTATTTTATCTAATACCTGCACCTGACCTACATCTACAAAGAATTGAAAGAATCCAGAGGTGGGGATTATACCACCTAAGCGCCTATACTGAGCAGTACAAATCTGCCCTATACTGTGTAAGTAATTTTCTATATACCATCACTTTATATTACAAACAGAGAGCACTATTTTTTATTCTCTCAATTTTGGGTCAAATTGATTGGAACACTGAACACGGACCAAGAACTCTCCAATCAAGCATTACTCTACATATCCATGAGTGGGGATCATTCCACTTCACGCGCATATATTGGAGCTAAATTCTAGCTCCAAAAAGTGTGAGTAGGACCATTTGCACTATCTCAATATTCATACTGTGATTGATATACTGTACCATTGGAGTTCTCCTTTTTTTCTGTTTTCCTTTCATATACATACCTCACCGGATTCAAGTACATCACTGTGAAGTCTCAACCCCGTCTGACGTCCCAAGATTTGTTGTCTCCACAAGGAGAAACTACTATAACGGACATTCGATAAGTGTTTTGGACTTTTATCTCACTTATTTTAAAATGTCATCCTATATTTTATATAATTGTTATATTTTATATATTATATACTATTTATACATTTAGGCGCACCCTTATCTTCCTTCTGTCTATTATTTCCTTAACAAAGTCTGATTTGCAAACCTCAACATGGCCAATTCGGTTGCATTTCCTGCACCTCTTGTGTTGAGCAGGGCATCACAGCTTTGTTCCGTGAGTGCGGTTACATCTCGTGCAACGAACCTGTTGCACCCAACTGTTTCTGAGCCTTTCTGCTGCCTGCGGTTTGCTCTCACTCTGTCGCATTCAGCTCTCCTGGACTGCTGCAAGTCTTGTACAATGCTTTCAGATCTGCATGTTGCTTCTTCACCACTTCTTTCTGGCAGGCCATTCGCATAGCCACATCAAGTGTCAACTTAGACTCCAGCTGCAGCTGTAGTGAGACTGAGTCTGCAATTCTTATGACAATTTTGTCTCTGATCCACTCCTGTTTGGCAGAACCAAATTCACAGAACTGCGTCAATTCATAAAGGCTGAGCACAAATGATTCCACCAATTCACCCACATGCCCTCTCCTGAATTACAATCCTCTTTGACACAAAATGGACACTGAACTTATTCATAACTATCTCAAATTCTTCTCCCTCACGGAATTTAAATGTATTGTAGACAGGCTCCACACCTTTCCCCATAGAATATAAAAGAGAATTAACTTGTACTTCACCACTCTCCTTATTCAGGCTTTAATGCAATCCTAAAGTGCGCAAACCCCTGGCGCCAGGTAGGCATGCTTCAGGCTGAGAAAAATTAAATGGCTCAGGAGGAGTGAACTTAGACATCTTCACAGATTAACAAACAGATGCACAGCTGAGTACTTCTTACACCATGTCAAGAAATGCATATAACACAGTGAGCTGGTTTAAACATGGCTTTATTGCAGAGCTTAACTTGGGGCTAGACCACCATCTTCAGCAGCAGCATTACATTTGAAAAATGACAGTTAATACGTCCAGTCACCTCCGGCCCCGCCCCTTCCTTTCAGTGAGTTCACTCAGGCTCTCATCACAATCTGTTAGGAAAATTGCGGGAAAATGCACCTATTAGTGTACTGCAAAATATGTACATGATCTTTATACTATGAGTATATTTAGCAGCAGGCTGATTGGCCCATTTTTGCACCTTTTGTGATTTTTGAAATGGTTCCCATAATATTTTTCAGTGGATGATATTCAGCAGTACTGAACCGTCATATGAACGAGCGTCAGCTATCACAACATATAAATTCCCTGTGGTAGACAGTCTCTGGTAGACAGCCACTAAAGGGCCCTAACAAAGATTTACTCCATGCAACGACGTTGGACATCCTCACACTTTGCATGAGGACAGCTAACGTTTTTGAATTCCCCATATGAAAGCATTGATTCAATGCTTTCCTATGGGAAAACCTAAATAAGTGCTGTGCATTAGGTCAGACCAGCTCAGTAAAGTCACGGGAGGAGAAAACCTGGCCAGCGCCAAGGGTTTAATCCTTTACACGCAGGCCAGGACAGTCAGTGTTGAGCCATTTTAGAGCAGTTAAACACTAAATAAGGGCCTACTGGAGGTGTGGCTAAAGTAGTCATACCCTTAATAATGGCAATGGGAGCTCTGATAGGCTAAAAGCTGTCAGCTAAAACTCTTAGCCAATTACATCTGCTCAGACTAATACTTCCTCATTAGTCAAAGCAGCACAGAGCGGATGGTCTGCTAATTTAACATTAAAACATAAAAACATTAAAAACTGATGGCACTAGGGGACTCCAGACACTATAACCAGTTCAATTAAATGAAGCTGGTACAGTGCACACAATGTCCCTTTAAGGAACATTGCATTTTTTTTGTGTTTTGCTTTTTTTAATCAGAGTGTTCCTTTAACATTAGTGTGGAAAGCACTTTTTTTTTATTTATTTTTTTATCTGTTAACCCCTTCTGACCGGAGGACGTACAATTACGCCCTATTTTAGGCGACTCTAAACGCCGCCGGGCGTAATTGTACGCCCTCCGGTTTTTGCCTACTTACCCGGTCGCCGTCGGTTCCAGGGAGCCCCCCGGCCATGTGAGAGTGGGGTCCTTGCGAGGACCCCACAATCACATGGCCGGGTAGGCTGCCTCCTGCATTGCCAGCAGGGGGGCTGCCTGTAATGACAGGTGGTCCCCCTGCTGGCTGAAAATAAAATTAAAATAAAATGTATTAGTGTAAAAATGTAAAAATATTATATATATGATCTAAGTATATATATACACACATATACATACATACACGTACACCGTCTAGGTGTATTTTACTATTAATATATATATAATTATATATATATATATTATCAAATTACACGTAGACTGATACTGATTAAAAAAATGATTAAATATATATAATTATTGTTATATATATATTTATATATAATAAAAAAATTAAATATGTAAATACGTTAAAAAATAAAATTAAAAAAATAATTAAAAAAAATAATTACAAAATATATAGATGTGTGTTATTTCGTTCTAACTGTATTGTGATATTAATATATATATATATTTATATCAAAATACACGTAGAACGAAATAATATATCTACATACTTAAATATATACGTATATATCACTATATATATACCTATATATAAATAAAAATATTTTTTTAAAATTATATAGATATACACATATAGATTCACATACGTATATATATACATATATTAATTCTACATATATATTTATGTAATATTTTTACATTATTAGGTATCTTAATTAATTACAATTAGAGGGACCTGCCTGACAACCCATGCCGAAAGTAAAGGGAATTTAATTGGCTAGCACTATATTTAACCCTATAACTTTCCAAGACACCATAAAACCTGTACATGGGGGTACTGTTCTACTCGGGAGACTTCGCTGAACACAAATATTAGTGTTTCAAAACAGTAAAATGTATTACAACAATGATATCACCAGTAAAAGTGAAGTTTTTTGCATTTTTCACGCACAAACAGCACTTACACGGATGATATTATTGCTGCAATACTTTTTACTGTTTTGAAACACAATTATTTGTGTTCAGCGAAGTCTCCCGAGTACAACAGTACCCCTCATGTACAGGTTTTATGGTGTTTTCAAAAGTTACAGCGTCAAATATAAGGCTTGCGTTTAATTTTTTTCACGTTAAAATTCGCCAGATTGGTTACGGTGCCTTTGAGACCCTACGGTAGCCCGAGAATGAAAATTACCCCTATTATGGCATACCATTTGCAATAGTAGACAACCCAAGGTATTGCAAATGGGGTATGTCCAGTCTTTTTTAGTAGCCACTTAGTCACAAACACTGGCCAAAATTGGCGTTTTTGCATTTTTCACACAAACAAATACTAACGCTAACTTTGGCCAGTGTTTGTGACCAAATGGCTACTAAAAAAGACTGGACATACCCCATTTGCAATACCTTGGGTTGTCTACTATTGCAAATGGTATGCCATTATGGGTGTAAATTTCATTCCTGGACTACTATAAAGTCCCAAAGGCAACTTAACCAATCTGGTGAATTTCAATTTCAAATGTAAAGTGCTATATTTGACCCTGTAACTTCCCAAAACGCCATAAAACCTGTACATAGGGGGTACTGTTTTACACGTTAAAAATGTCATGTAGAACTAAAATTTTTTTAAAAATTCTTATTTTCTCCCATTGTTTTCATATTAAATTATGTTTCATAGCTAAATATTTGATATTAAATGAAAGCCCTGTTTCCCCTGAATAAAATGATATATAATAAGGGTGGGTGCATTTACTATGAAAGAGGTGTATTACGGTTGGACAGACATGTAGCGCAAATGCCAGGTTTTGTTTACATTTTGTTTCGTTCACAACGTGTACATTTGGCTCAGTCCTTAAGGGGTTAGACTGAGAGGGCTGGATATATATATTTCTCTAAATTCTACCATCAAACTTCACTCATTTCCATAACAATAAGTAAAAACATTTAAGAGAAGATGCAAACAATATGTCTTAATTATACCAATGAAGCTCATTATTTCATTGGATAAGGTAAGTCAGAATTTTCCAAAATCCTTTTTACATCTGTGGGTGTTTCTGTCCCTTTTAGGAAAATTAAAATAAAAAATATTGACAATGCAAAACTGTTTACTGAAGAAGATGTGTTAATAAATTCATACTTTGATTGCTATAGGTGAAAGAGACATGTTGCTTTTCAAAAGAAGCTTTGGCTGGTGTAATGTAAGCACCCATATTAACAAAATATATATGTGTACAAAAGATATTGCCCACCCATGGTTCCATAATTAGAACTAGAAATATAAAGATATATAATCACCCGATCTATACACCATATTTACATGAAATAATGTGCATACATGTACTTTTCACCATATTTTAATACAGCAGACCAAGTAATATAAATAGCAAAGCAAACATTGTAATGCTATCACATTGCAATATATTGTCTTTTAGCTTTGTAAGTTATAATTGTAAAAATGATACGTCAATCTCTATCATTCAAAGATACTTTTGGCTCTAATATTAAAGTAAAACAATGTCAACTGATTTAGCTTCTCAATGCCAGATTCCAGATACAAATTGCACATACTGCATTTCAGCAGATTAGCTACACACAGACAATACAAATACATAAGAAATGAAAAACACAAGTAAGTGCAGTATACACACAAATATAAATACACTTACAAGCAAGGAAGAGGTTAAAACACACATATACTGCAATGATGTGGATAAAATAAACAGACTAAGGAAGGCAAACTTTTTTGTCTTACACTAAATAAATTTAATGAACTTCCCCGTTACCTGTTGGGATGGATTTTGACTCTGTATTTAAGAGATGTTCCCTTCTTTTCCTAAATGCATACAGACAACTAGTGTTTTCAATCTCTGCATAATTTTAATTATCACAACCCTGCTAGCTGTTCAGTGAATATAACACATCTTAAACCTGTAGGTCTAAAGTAAATTTTGTGAACCTTAGGTTATGTAACTGGCATAACTAGAAGTAACTAGAAACCACCAGACCAGTGTAAAAATTGCCCTGGGCCCCCCATGTGTCTCATTCCCTCCCACCCTCTCCATGTGTCTCATTCTCCCCCTCAGCCACTCCATGTAGGTCATTTTCTACCCCCAGGCCCCCCATGTGACTCATCCTCCTTCAGCCCCTCCATGTGTCTTATCCTCCCCCTCAGCCACTCCATGTGGCTCATTCTCTCCCCCTGCCCCTCCATGTGTCTCATCCTCCCCTGCCCCTCCATGTGGCTCATTCTCTCCCCCTGCCCCTCCATGTGGCTCATCCTCCCCCTCCATGTGTCTCATCCTCCCACCAGCCCCTCCATGTGTCTCATCCTCCCACCAGCCCCTCCATGTGTTTCATTCTCCTCCCAGCCCCTCCATGTGTCTCATCCTCCTCCCAGCCCCTCCATGTGTCTCATCCTCCTCCCAGTCCCTCCATGTGTCTCATCCTCCTCCCAGCCCCTCCATGTGTCTTTCTCCCCCAGCCCCTCCATGTGTCTTTCTCCCCTAGCCCCACCATGCATATTTCTCCCCCAGGCACTCCATGCATCTTTCTCCCCCAAGCCCTACATGCGTCTTTCTCCCCCAGGCACTCCATGCGTCTTTCTCCCCCAGGCCCTCCATGCGTCTTTCTCCCCAAGCCCCTCCATGTGTTTCATCCCTCCCATGTGTCTAATTCTGTCCCCCAGCACCTCCATGTGTCCCACCCAGTCACTCCATGAGTCTCATTCTCCCAAACAGCCCCTCCACATGTCACATTCTTTCACCCATACTCTCCTCGTGTCTTATCCTCCCCCGAGCCCCTTCATGTGTCTCATTCTCCCACCCAGCTCCTCCATGTGTCACATTCTCACCAAGCCCCTCCTTTGTGTCTTCTCCTCCCCCCAGCCCCTTAATGTGTCTCATCCACCCCCTGACTTTGGAACTTCTCCTGCCCTTTTTTGGGGGAGGTTGTACATTTAGTATTGTGACCTGAAATAAAGGGCTATTCTATCCTCTTATCTATTCTATTCCTGTATTGAAGACTGGCTCTGTTGATATACAGATATCTTAACCTGTACAGTTAGAGAACAAACAAATTAAAATAATTTCAGACATCGATAAATGTCTGCTTACTTAATCTCTAAATGACTGAAATTATACAAGGACGTTTTATTGTCAAGGAGGGAATATTCTTTCCTGTATGTTCTGTAAAAAAACAGTAATTATCAGTATCTATGTATACACTTGAAAGTTTTAGAATTAGACATATAGATGCTCTTACAGGGTTATTCACTAAAGTGAGAATTTCAGGTGAACTCAAAGTGAATTTCTAATTTAAGATCAAAATAGCCAAACTGGGAAGGTTCTCTGTCAGCTATGCTTTGAGTTCAGCTACTCTGGCATTAAAGTTGAAAGTTGAATTCACTTAAAATACTATCTTTAATGAATAACCCTGTTAAATATTACATTACACAGAGCAGTGGTTCCCAAACCAGTCCTCACGGCCCACCAACAATCCAGGATTTATATATTTCCCTGTTTTATTCCAGTGGAGATACTGACAAAACCTGGACTGTTGGTAGGTCTTGAGGACTGGTTTCGGTAACATTAACATAGAGGATACAATTACAAAGAGCATAACATTTCATGTATGCATTGTGAAAACAGATATGCAAGCAAATGTATAGGTTTTTCAATAAATCAATATGAATATATGTTCAGCTCAGCTAGTAATCAGTTCGTGGCATAAAGAGCAAGGCAATAATAGCCAAGTTTGGAGGGCCAGGTGAGAGCCAGAGAACTATCCTACAGGCAGTTCTCCTGCTTCACATCAACAAGAACATGATCTGCAGTTGCAATGATTATTTATCCAGTCGGTGCATATCATGCTTTGCTAGAGAAACCAATGAGCTTGCAGTGAAAGAAATTATTATTAGAAAAGGGCACGAAGGGAAATTTGTTGTTTCTTTTCTAATCAATTTGTAAAAAAAATTTCAGATGAGCCAAATTTCAGTTCAGAAATGTGTTTACTTTTGAATTTCAGAAGCCCCATCATTCCTTATGGAGGTAGCAGTCACAAAGTTACCAAGGTAAATACCATGTTAGGGAGTTATACACATTGCTGAAATATTAACATTAAAATAAGCCCTTTCCTTAATTTTGATCTTTCATATGTTTAGTATATAACCCCCTAATTTTCTATCCTTGTGTGGAATTGCCATAAGGATGTTCGCTAAACAACTCCATAATTTGGTGTACATAAATAGGGCACAAAAAAATCCAAATTAGTGAGTTATCTGGAAAAACTGCTGAAAGAGCAAAATAAAGAAAATGGCTTTTCTCAATTTTGATCATTCTGCTGTTTAATAGATAACTCCCTAATTTGGTATTATTACATGGGATATAGGGATACCAAATTAGGGAGCGATCTACTAAACAGCTGAACGATCATAATTAAGAGCCAAATTCTTAATGTTGATCTATCAACTGTTAAGGGTACCAAATTAGGGAGTTATACTTATCAAAACAAACAGATTGGAAACATGTTGTTTCAGCTCATTTTCAATTAGTTTATTTTTGGTTCAATCTGTCATTTTTTCATTTCAGAAATTAGTTTCATCTAAAATTGCCAGATTTGGTCAAATTCATCCAAATTATGATTTGGAATGAAACTAATTGGCATTCCCTTATTATTAGTTATGAACTACTTTACTCCTACACACCTCTTTAAAAAATCACTATAGGGTCAGGAACACAAACATGTATTCCTGACCCTATAGTGTTAAAACCACCATCTAGCTCTCCTGAACACCTCATGCCTTATTCAAGCCTGAAGCTGTAACTCTGCATGCTGTTTGACTCAGAATAGTAAATAATCAAAACCTGTCTGCTGACAGAAGTGGTGGCCTGATCCAGTCACAATGCATCCCCATAGGATTGGCTGAGACTTACAAGGAGGCAGATCAGGGGCAGAGTCAGCATGATTCAAACACAGCCCTGGCTAATCAGCATCTCCTCATAGAGATCAATTGAATCAATAAATCTCTATGAGGAAAGTTCAGTGTCTGCATGCAGAGGGAGGAGACACTGAATGTTTGGATGCAATTTAGGCAGCCATGGCCCAGGAAGGATCTCTAAAAGCCATCTGAGGAGTGGCCAGTGAAGTTATCACTAGGCTGTAATGTAAACACTGCATTTTCTCTGAAAAGACAGTGTTTACAGCAAAAAGCCTGAAGGTAATGATTCTACTCACTAGAACAAATTCAGTAAGCTGTAGTTGTTCTGGTGACCATAGTGTCCCTTTAATGTATCTTTTTTAATCTCTTCTCGATATTCTTTGTAAAACTATCAAGACTAGTGATGTCGCGAACCGTTCGCGAACTTGCCGCGAACGGTTCATGGCGAACTCCGGTCAGCTGACACATCCCTGCCAATCTCCGGCAGACTCTCCCTGCCAGACCCTCCCAACATGGATGCTGTCCAGGAAGTAGGAGGGTCTGGGAGGGAGGGTCTGCCAGAGATTGGCAGGGATGTGTCAGCTGACCGGAGTTCGCCACGAACCGTGGCGAACCGTTCGCGGCAAGTTCGCGGATGGTTCACGTCATCACTAATCAAGACATATCAGTTTCATCAAAATAGGCAAAGTTTATAAATGGTGAAGAATGAAAATGCAAATCAGCTTAGGAAGGCTGCTTGCATGGATGTTAACCATTTAGAAAGCTCATTATAAAATCAATAAACTATTACATCTCTATTTCATCCCATAATTCACGTTTCCCTTTATTTTTTTATTTTACAGCACAAAACATTACAAAACATATATATTATCATCATTATATAAATTAAATATATATATAAAAATACAGTAAAAGTGATTATATGATGGCTTGAAAACCTTTTAAGATGGAAACTACAAATAACCAGGCGGCAAGAGAAAAATGGCGACACACCATCAGTGTCCTGTGTTAATTGTTGTGTGTATTGACAAAAGATCTAATTTCAAACTTCTGATTTCATTAAAAAAATGTTTCTTTAGAGAACCATCAGCTGTTACATCCACAAGGATTAAGTCAATGCTTTATATCCTCCAGTTTCACTTTATTCAGTGACGTAAGCAGATTTCCTATAACATCACAGTTTGCACAATGGAATTCCATTAAAACTAACTCTGATCCATAAAATGCACACTCCCTCTGTTAGAAGTCCTTCGTATGGAAGCGTTTTGTGGGTTGCCATTCCAATTGGAATGTCTCATGGAAATGTCATGAAGTGGAACTTCTCCATTCTGCACCATTATGGAAACTCCATTTCTTTCTTTAAAAACGTTGCCTGAAAAAAAAAACGTTGTACTCTGTAAAATGAGTATGTGGCAAAATTCGAACACTTTAGCAAGCACATAACATAAATATATAATATAGGATACTTAGAACTATGTGATGGGGTCTTCCGATGACAAATACTGGTTTATAGTCCTGAAAATAACATTTTAGTGCTAAATTTTAGTACTATTTTGGACTATAGGCTCCCTTCTGTCCACCTGCCTTTGTTCACCACCGTTTGCTAAGATTACTTTGCACTTTTACAGCGCAAGGACTGCTTGCTGCATTCCAACTGGAAATAGACATGCATGGCAAAATGCTGCGCTCCTCCAATCACGCACTGTTCTGATCAGCATGTGACTCCAGGACCGGGTTTCTCTCCGTTCTGGAGGAGTAAGTATTTCTAATGTCTAATGTCTCTAGAAGTGGATTCAATTGTGCAATAAAAACATTGCAGTTTCTACAAAACTGCATTTTTTTTTTACATTGCATGGTTAAAATGATAGGACCGCTGCATCCAGACCACTTCATTAAGATGAAGGGGTCAAGGTGACGTTTCTGGTCCTTTAATGTGAGTATCCCATTATTTAATTTTACAGGGAAAGATTAGGAAAGACATTAATTTATATCTAAGAGTCATGAAGACAGAGGTAGATATTTGTTTGTCACTTTAAGATGGGGTATGGGGATCACCCTGGACTGTAGGTTGCATGGCATTATTAGTAATAGTGGGTGCACTATAAGGTGATATTGGACATGTTTATGGTCCAGTGGCCCCCCTTTCAACAGTATTCCCTCACCTCACAGCACAAGTGATAAGGGGGTAGACTAAGTCCTCTTTCCATACGACCTGCTGTTCATGGAATGAAAGGGTAAGGGAAATACTGAGGTTTTTCACTGTTAGTCATATATATAGGGAACATCTATGCATTACTAAACCAAAGTTGCCATCCAAAAATCATGTTCCTCTTCAGGTAGGTAAAATTCTGGTGAAATCTATACATGCCTGACGATTGCTTCAATTGTATTGCTTTCTCACATGGGCAGAATATCTGTGTGATACTTTGGCACTCCCAAAGATGTGAGCATAATCCTACAATTTCTAGGTCACTACAAATGGAAATGCTACGGCATAAATTAGTGGCAGTGTGGGTGCTTGCACAGCCTCTGATAACCTCCATAGCAGTGATCAAATGTATTCTCTCTAGAGTGACACCAAGCTTTTTGGACTTACAAGAGCATTTTGGCCTCATCGTAGAGACTGAGGAAGGAGGAGGTAATATACATGCAGACCCATGTTTAGTGGTAATTGCCCATACACCAGCCTTTTATTTCTTAGTAGTCTATAGAAGATGAAAAAAAAAATATTGCTATCCCTACTTAAGCAGTAGTAGGACAAAATGTGGCCCTAACTATTTTTTACTAAGCCACTCAAGTTGAACAAAGGGGTAAAATGTGAAAAAAACATAACATTATTTTAAAGAGAACAAGGCCTACCATTTCCATTCGGATGCACAAAATATTCATTGCCTACTAGCAGGGTTGTAGAGTTGGAATTACTGTTGGATTGGATTGAGTTGCTTGAGCTGCTTGATGCACCTTGTTTTGATGTCTGGTTCTTCAGCTTATTAGTAGCTGTTTTACTCCAGTCTATAAATACCGGAAACAAATGTAAACTACATGAAGCACAGGGAGTAAAATATTATTTGACTGAGTACATATAACAAATTTAAAGGAAAGTTGTAAGCAGCATAACCACTATATTGTCTTGAAATGGTTACGGTGACCAGAGTTTCCATTTGAAAATGGTTATCAGGAATTCACTGGATGTCGGTCACTTCCTCCATTGGAAGTACAGCATTTAGGGAAAAATGGTCAACTTGTGACTACAGCTGAGTTAGAACATTTTTTGTTTATTTTAGCCTTAGTCTTACAATTCTGATTAAAATACAGTGATGGAGAATAAGCATGACAGAATATCATTTCTACCGCAGAATGACAACAGCAACATTTAACTGTAGCACGGATCTACTGGACAATGAAAAGGGCTAAATAAAAATACTAGAAAATGGGGGATTGAGACAATTACCTAAATCATCAGTAAGTATATATTCCGGTATTGATATTAGGAAATTATTTCCACCTTTTGGTATTGTGAGGAATAGAAAAACCTACCAGAGTTTTCAGCCAGCCTTAACTTTCCACAGCAGAGATACCTTCTCCACTGCTTCCGTACATTTTCCTTTGCTACACAGTAGAAAATAAATATAAAGAAACCTGTAAAATAAGAATATTCTTTAGTTACACAATGTACTATTCACAATAAAAATGCATTAGACTGAGATGCAAATCTACATTTCATGCTTCTCTATTCCAAATAAACCAAAATGTCTTCCTTTTGACAAATGTTGGCAAAAGGACAAGCCCTGCTCCTAGCTTGGGACTTATTGCATTTTTAGCTATCTATGCAACAGCAGAGAATAAAATACAGACAGAGGTGGAGTGGTGGGCAAACGTGCAACCCTGAACGAGGCATTATGAGACATCTACAATGTAAACAGTTTATATTTTCTAACGAGACTCAAGCACGAAGGAGACGGTCACTTCAGAGGCTTGGTCTATTGGAAATATATCAGTGTCATAATCCTGCACAAAACTCTAGGCACCAAAAACAATTAGGGTTTTGGGTACCTGCAGACTACCCCCCCCCCACCCACCCCTACCTTAACCATCCCAACTCAGACCAGTGATGGGTGGCTGTAATAGGCCGAGTGAGGTCTGCTGATGTTCTCAGCCAATCAATGCTGCCCATTACTGCTTGGGCTAATGCAGAAGCATTGGTATACCTATAAAAGAGGAGCGGGGCTGCAGGCTCCCTAGGACCTCCCTTAAAGGAGAAACCATTTGAAAATTGTTTAACACTGAAATGTGGAATGCATCATTAATGAGAGGAAATGTTTACAATGCCTAGAGTGTTCCTTTAAATCTCAATATTGGTGTTGCATGAAATTATAAATTATATATTATTGTCCACCAATTCCCTAAAACAAAATTCCAGGATTAAAAGTGTGACGATCAGAAGCTAACCTTGCAGTGAGTTCAGGATAGTGAAGAGATATAAAATGGCAATTTTCCCTGGTCCAAACGAAAAGAATGCCAGGCCCCAGGTAATGCCCAGCAGGAATGTGATCCCGGTCACACTCCGCAAGTCTTGGAAAGTTGTTTTCCTCTGGTACCCAAGCTGCTTTTGTTTTTTGATACGGCACAGCTGTATTAAAACCACTATAAACATGCTGACATTCAACAGAAATATGATTCCAAAATAACCGACAACAGTTATGTAAAATATGATGTCCTTAATCCAGCACCTGAAGTGAAAGAAACATTTGTAGGTCACATTATGAAAATGTATAATTTAATTACACATTATGCTAAAATTATGTTAGCCTTTAAATCCATGTCATGAAATGTTTTAGAAAAGAGGTGGAAAAACCTTTATAAACATCTGATTATTTGACATTCCCACATTTTGTTGTACAACTCTGAGGAATTAAAATTTAATAAATCGAGAATTCTGCCATTGAATTTGCTTAATACGCTTTACACTTTAAATATGTAAATGTAGCTCTTGCATTATTTAAACAAAACACAAAACACTTGGTAAATAATTATTTAGTCCTAAACTCGGGATTGGTAGAAGCACCAACAATTACAGCTGCCAGTCACTTTTGGTATGGTTCTGCAAGATAAATAAATCCTGGATTATTTAATTCTTAAAAAAGATGTTGACCAAATAAAATATTTAATAGAATTAGACATAGCATATATGGAATGATATAAAGGGTGGAACAGCAAACAAGGGGTAAATATTTAGTAGCATGATTACTGTATATTTTATGGCTTCACGGGCTGAAATACTGTTGATATGCAGTGGCGTATGGGATTGTTTGATTACATATAGTATGAGATTTTGTGTTGAAATTATGCCCATATAATATGATTTATGTGATCAAGGGGTAATTTTAAATTTATTTGAACCTACAGGAGACTCCTCTACTTACATTTCATCCGGTGATCCATCGGGAAATGTGCCATGCGACTGAAGGCCATACAAATCTTTATTCACTGCTAAAATAATGGCCACGACGATAGCTGGGCAACCTGCCATAAAAAAAACAATAAGTGGATTTTTTTATTATACTTTACTAATTTACACGATGGCAATGATGTTGAGAAA